AAGCACCGGGGTGGAAGGCAGCAGACCACCTGGGTGCCAGCGACAGGGCTCCCCCCGGACTGGGCAGGAGAGAACTGGACGGCGGAAGAGATGGGCGCCCGGCCAGGGTGCGTGAGCCACCCGACCCCCCCGTTAGGCGCGCGGGGGCCCGCCCGAGGCAAGGAGCGGGGAAGAAAAGGCAGGGAGAGAAAGGAGGGGGGGAAGAGGGTTCGGGACCGAGAAGGCGGGCAGCGGCGCAGGGGGAAGGGGAGGAGGAGGAGGAGGAGGAGGAGGAGGAGGAGGAGGAGGAGGAGGAGGAGGAGGCGGAAAAAGAGGATGAAGAAGACGACGAAGAAGAAGACGATTCATAATGATAGCCAACGTGGGCCCCAAATAGTAGGTTCTTGCAGTCTATGCGGTGCAATATATGTGGTGCAATGTATGCGGTGCAACCTATGCGATGCAATATATGCGGTGCAACCTATGCGGTGCAATCTATGTGGCGCAGTCTACGCGGTGCAACCTATGTAATGCAATATATGCGATGCAATCTATGTGGTGTACTTGTTTTTTTTACAAACGAGTTGACACATTCCATGATCGTGCAAGCATCCCACCCATCCACCCGCAACTTGGTTTGAAAAACCAATGCGGCGGCGATTGCGATGAGGGCTTGGTGTTGGCTGGTGCATGTTTGTGGCCGCGCCAACCCAAGCACGCGCGCGCAGGGGCCAGCTAGTTTGGCGCGGGCGACGCGTCCGCGATGGCGCTGTCCGCTGGGCACATCCCAGCGGGCATTTCAGTGCGAGTCGGCGACCCGGGCGGGCGCGGTATCATGGCATCGTCGACAACGGTAGACGCGATGATGATAGTAGTTATGCTGATGACGATGTTGACAACGACGACGGCGCGGCCAGTGACGGCGCAGATGCTGATCGCGTCGACGACGATGACGGCGTTCTCGCGTCGGTGATGAAGGTTTTGGAACAAGTTCTTCATGCGCGCGCGGCCGACGCGCGAGAGTGGCCCGCATGGTATTATTTGACACGGATCGTGTCCCCCCCAGAACGTGCGCAAAAGCGCTCGGATGATTTCGGCATGCGGCACGAGATGCCTGTTTGGCAGAATTCCATGCGCATGCAAAAACACAACAACCTTTTTTCACGAACGAACGAAAAGTCGCAACAGCGCGAGCGCAGGCTGCTTTGAAAATTGATGTTGCGAAACCATGTGCTTTTATTTTTTTCCGACACTCGGTTTTGAAATCGTTACGAAGCCGAAGGTTTTTGACTGATTTCGGTATGCGCGCGCGGCGACGCGCGCGTGTGCACTTCGTCTCTTTTTTTGCAGATGGGTTCCCTCGGCGGCACGCGCGCAATGCCGTTCGAACGATTTCGACATGCGCGCGAACGAAACCCGTTCGGTCTCATTTTTTGAACGTGTTTTTGTTTTGTCTTAAGAATTCGCAAGAGCTCGCGCGCACGTTTGTTTGGTTTTTATTGCAACTCCGTGTTGCGGAACCCCGTGTGTTTGTATGTTTGTTTTGTTGACACTCGATTTTGATATCCTTATGGTACCGAGAGTTTTTGAACGATTTAGGCGCGCGCGACAACGCGCCCGTGCGCACTTCGTCATTTTGTTGGCTGGGTTTTGAAACCGGTTGATGTTTGATAAGCAAGCACGCGCGCATAGTATATTTCCCAACTTTCTTGTGCTGGGTTCTCGTTGTGAATAGCGGTCGCACACCTCCGCCCGCCCCCTCTCCCCTCCCCTGCCTCTCACCTCGTTCTTTCCTGCTTGCCAGCTTGCCTCCTGCCTGGCCATCCCTGGGGGTGCTGTGATTTGCGAAACCGTCGCCAGTTTCGAGGGCTGCTGGGGGGGTGCAGCGGAGTGACGTGTTACGCGGACCCAAATTCGACCTCGCCATCCCTGGGGGGCTGCGATGTGCGAAGCTGCCGCCAGTTTCGAGGGCCGCTGGGGGGTCCAGCGGAGAAGCGTTCTACGTGGACTCAAATTAGACCTCGCCGTCTCTGGGGGGCTGCGATTTGCGAAGTTGTCGCCGCTCTGTAGGGCTGTTGGGGGGTGCAGCGGATTGACGTCTTACGCGGATTCAAATTCGACTTCGCCATCCCTGAGGGCTGGGATGTTCGAAACTGACGCCACTTTCGAGGGCAGCTGGGGGGTCCAGCGGAGTGACGTCTTGCGCGGATTCAAACTAAACCTCGCCATCCGTGGGGGGCTGCGGTGTGCGAACCTATCGCCACTAGTGGGGGCTGCTGGGAGGGGTGCAGCGGATTGGCGTCTCACGCGGACTCACATTCGACCTCCCTATCTTTGGGGGCTGCGATGTGCGAAATTGTCGCCAATTTCGAGGGCTGCTGGGGGGTCCAGCGGGATGACGTTTTTTCGCGGATTCGAACTCGACCTCGCAATCCCTTGGGGGGCTGTGATGTGAGAGGCTGTCGCCAGTTTCAGGGGTTCTTGCGGGTCAGCGGAGTGACGTCTTACGCTGTCTCACATTAGACTTCGCCATGCACGCAGGGTCGGTTGCCTAGCCGAAGGACCCCGCGCCCCCTCCTCCCCGTTCCCCCTGGAGCGTCGCCCGCCCGTGCTGGTGCAAACGGGAGAGTCCAGTTGGCCAGGGCGAGCGGGAGAGCGGTCCACGCCGATTTCCAGGATGCTGATGCTGATGCTGATGCTGATGCTGACGACGACGATGACGATAACGATGATGATGATGATGATGATGATGATGATGATGATGATGATGATGATGATGATGATGATGATGATGATGATGATGATGATGATGATGATGATGATGATGATGATGATGATGCTGATGATGATGATGATGATGATGATGATGATATTGATGCTGATGTTGATGCTGATGCTGCTGCTGATGATAAGACGATGCTGCTGCTGCTGATGATGATCATGATGGTGGTGACGATGGTGGCGATGATGGTGGTATTCGGCATGATGATTATTTTGATGATGATGGTGATGACGATGATGCGGATGCCGATGACGCTGATTATGTTGATGATGCTGATGCTGATGCTGATGCTGATGCTTTGGTTGTTGTTTGTTGTTCTTGATGGTGATGCCACTGACGATGACGATGCTGTTGATGATGATGATGATGATGATGATGATGCTGATGCCGATGTTGAGAATGATGATGCTGATGATGATGATTACGATGAAGATGACGATGCTGAGGAGGACCATGATAGTGATGGTGATTCTGCTGTTGCTGATGAGAATGAGGATGACGAAGACGATGATGACAACAATGCTGATGATGGTGGTGCTGATGATGATGACGATGATGATGTTAATGATGATGGTGGTGCTAATAATGATTATGATGATGCTGATGCTGATGATGCTGATGATGATGTTGATGATGCTAATGCTGCTGCTGTTGCTGATGATGATGATTAATCTCATGCTGCTGATGCTGATGCTGATGCTGATGCTGATGCTGATGCTGATGCTGATGATGATAATGATGATGATGCTGATGATGATGATGATGATGATGATGATTATGTTGATGTTGATGCTGATGCTGATGATGATGCTCATGATGATGATAAGGATGACGAGGACGGCTGGCGATTATTGTGGTGATGATGGTGATGATGGTGATGTTGATGATGATGCTGATCCGGATGATGAAGAAGAATATGTTGATGAATGTGATGGCGAGGCGGGGGATGATGAGGTGGAGGTAGTCGAGGAGGACGATCAGGATGGAGGGGGACGGGGAATTGGAATTCTGATCATGACGATGACGATGTTGGTGATGCTGCTGCTGATGATGATGATGGTGATGATGATGGTGATGCTTCTGATGATGGTGATGATGGTGATGATGATGGTGATGCTGCAGATGATGATCATGCTGCTGCTGATGATGACGATGATGATTATGATGACGCTGATGATTATGATGCTGATGACGGTGATGATGATGACGCCGGCGTCGACGATGATGCTCACGTGTTGTTCATGGTGATGATGATGATGCTGATGCTGATGCTGATGCTGATGCTGATGATGAGGAGGACGGGGATTGTGATGTTGATAGCGATTGTGATGGTGATGATGGCGATGATGCTGCTGCTGTTGCTGCTAATGATGATGATGATGATGATGATGATGATGCTGCTGATGATGATGATGATGATGATGATGATCATGATGATGATGATGATGATGATGATGATGATGATGATGATGATGATGATGATGATGATGATGATGATGATGATGATGATGATGATGGGGTTTGCGATGCTGAAGTGAATGATTCTCATGATGGGAGACGTTGACCGCGGCCGCGTCCGCGCGAGACGGACACCTGCAGGCTGAGCATGAAGCAGTGGAGGCTCAGACGAGCACCCACATGACCAGCAACGATCCCTCACGCCCTTGGACCTGCTGGCACCAACCCCGACAGGCGTCAGCACTCCTGGGTGGACCAGGCCAATCGCCTGCCCGCCAGGCCGCCGTCCCGCACCGAGAGGAAGCCGTCAGGCCCATCAGGAGGAACTCCTGGAGGAGGAGGAGGAGGAGGAGGAGGAGGAGGAGGAGGAGGAGGAGGAGGAGGAGGAGGAGGAGGCGGAGGAGGCGGAGAAGGCGGAGGCTCCGTAGCCATTTGGCTCAAGCTACGGCCAGCAGATTGTTCCATAGCGTGCATCGCTTACTGAACGTCCTCCCTTTTGTGGCTCTCACAATGTTTCCTGATCCGAAGTCGGATGTATTTTCTCTTGTCGCTTTCCTTCACAGGGCAACTTTGCTTCGCCTTTCAAAAGCTTGCGGCAGCCCTCTTCAAGGCTGTTCATATGGAGCAAAGAAATGTGCAATGACCTCCCACTGGAGGCGCAGGTGTCGGGAGCTGGACACTATAGCAGGATGGTCGAGGAAGATCTCCCCAGAGAAAGTCAGTAAGTTTCTCACTGAACTCGACTTGGAGCTCTCGGGCCAGAGGGGACACAAGGAGGACGATGTGCATCCTGACAGTGGCAATGCATCCGAATTCTCTCCGCCAGGCCCATCGGAGGGAGCCTTACATTCTGAATCTGGACAGGAAGTTGAGTTCTTCAACATATTCGAAGAGCGCTCAAATGTGGCAACTCAGACTCCACACGGCGAGGTCACAAAGGCCAGCGTGGACATTGAGAGCCAAACCGACATCAACACAGCCACTGGGTGCTTCATCATGGACGAGATTGGGCTGCTGAACACTACCGCCAACGCTGCGGTGGCCGCTCTACACCAGCAGCTGCAACAGGATGTCTCATCTCTTGATTTACTGCATGAAGAGGCTATGGCACAATCTTCACTTGTGGAGCCACACATGAGTACGCACAGCAGTGAACACGATGGCCACGAATGGGCCAGTGATTGCAGTGAGTTTGAGGAGTACTTGTTGAAAGTTCGTGCTCTCCTTCCTGTCGCACTTCGGGACTTTAGCGTGCGTGCCGCCTCGGCATACCAGAAGGAAGAGCCCGAGACAGCCGGCGCCGCTGAAGACAAGACAGCGGACGAGGATGACGGGAGTTCAACGTTTGAGGACTTGTGCAGCATTGGCAATTTGTCAAACAGTTCTGCAGAAGGCTACCCGTGCAGGAGGTGTGCGGGAATATTCGGGCGCTCATCATTTTTGGTCCATTCGAGCCCGTCTGGCAAAGCGAAGTGTTACATCTGTGGAGATAAATGTGCCAAGTTCAAGAGGGCCGTCCATTGTAAGAGTTGTAATACATGGGCACACGATATATGCATCGCCTCCTTCTTCGCTTGCAATCCTAACAAGTCAGAGGGCTAATGTGAATGAGGCCATGAATGCAGCTGCTCGCAGCAGACTCCTCAACAGCTGATTGGGCGAGGCATGAAGGCAGCTTTGCCTGAGACTCTGGGCCTCTGCCCAGCAGATGCCTCCACAGCTTTCCCTCGACCCCTAATCCCTCCATGTCTTATATATCTTATCTATTCTTCCCCATCCCTTTCCCTCAGAGCTTCTGCTGCTTGCCAGCCATTTCTGGGGGAGGGGGGGAGAGGAGGGGTCGAGTTTTAGTGTGCGTGTGTGTGTGTGTGTGTGTGTGTGTGTGTGTGTGTGTGTGTGTTGCGTGCTTGGGCTGCGCGTGTTTTTATCGGAGGAGGAGAAGGAGGATCTCCCCCCTGTCCTCCGCAGCTGCTGCACACACACACACACCTTGGAAGCACCCACGGCATTTTGTCGCAAAGGAGTGGGCCATTTTAGGCCACGTGTGCTTCCAAGCAGCTTAGAGAGTGAGGCTGTCGCTCTCTTTCCTGAACAGCGAAGCTTGGGTCCTCTATGAAACTTCTGCCTTATATGATGCTGTTTGGTATCTTCGCTGTTTAGGGTCGGCCTCCCTACAGCCAGGGTGCAAAGTGAGCTGCACTAAGTTCAGCACCTGCCCCATCACTTTCGAGCAGGTTCCCACCCTGGCGGCGGGGGAGGCGGATTTCCCAGACGGGGGCGGGACTGCGGAGGACCCCTTCCCGCCTCTGCGTGGCCTGCTGCCGACCGCAACTTCGGTCAGGCAGCCCAGAGGCATCCATAGCCTCTCTTCTCTGATCTTCTCTTCTCTCTCTCTCTCTCTCTCTCCCTCTCTCAGGTCGGCTTTGAGCTGCGTGCACGCTGGCGTGTTCTGCTCGGCTAGACCTCTTGTATCGCTGTATCGCGAGAAGGCGGAGGAGGCGGAGGAGGCGGGTGAGGAGGAGGAGGAGGCGGAGGAGGAGGAGGAGGAGGAGGAGGAGCGGAGGCCGCGAAGACGAGCCAGGAAGAACTCCTGGATGGCCGTGGGGACGCCGAGCTCCGCGGGGGACAGCGGGGCATCGTTCGCCGTCGCCGCCTCCACGAGGACGCCTCCGCGGGGTCAAACTGCGGCGTCCCGAGCCGCGCAGGGAGCGCCGCCGACAGCCGCCGGGTCGCCATTCGACCCTCCTTCACCACCGCCTCGCCAGGAGGCTGCTGCACCGGTGCCGCCGCGCTCGCCGAGGCCCTTGCCGTCGTCCCTGCTCTGGCCGCCGCTGGTGGCCATGGCGCGGTCCTGGCGCCGCCCCCCTGTGCGCTCAGCCCCCCGCGCGATGTGGAGCGAGCTGGCCCCATCGTCGGGCGGGAGCGGAGGAGGAGGAGGGGGAGGAGGAGGAGGAGGAGGAGGAGGAGGGGAGGAGGAGGAGGAGGAGGAGGAGGAGGAGGAAGCGGAGGACGAGGCGGAGGAGGAACACCCTCACTTGCAGGCTCGCTTCCGCTCGGGACACTTGGCACGAGCTGGTCCGCCGCCGTGTCCTCGATCTCCGTGCTGTGGCCACGCTCGCCGCCACGGCCTCGCGGGCGCGGGCGCCGCCGAGGGCGCCCGTGCGGCGGCGCTGCCACGGGCGACGGCGGCGGGGCCTCGGCCGGCGCGCCGAGGATTGCCACGGCGGTCCTGATCATGCCCTCGGCGGCTCGGAGCAGTCGCATGGCGGGCCGCTCTCCAGGGCCGCCCGAGAGCCCCGCAGCAGCGGGCGTGGCCAGGACGACGCCGTGCGCCGCCTTCAGCGCCGCCGCGCGCGCGCGCGCCTTCTTGGTCGCCCTTGGCGTCGGCGCGCTGCGTCGAGGGGACCGAGCCTGCGAAGCGAGTCTGAGTCAACATCGGAGGATCATCGCGATGATGATGCTGCTGCTGCTGCTGCGGCTGCTGCTGCTGCTGATGATGCTGACGACGGCGACGACGACGATGATTATGATGATGATGATGCTGATGCTGATGCTGATGCTGATGCTGATGCTGCTGCTGCTGATGATGATGATGATGATGATGATAATAATGGCGAAGCTGATGCTCCTGCTGATGTTGATGATGATGAGGATGATGATGATCATTATGATGATGATGGTGAGGATGATGATGCTGCTGCTGATGATATTGATGATAATGATGACTTTCTCTTCCACTTTCTGTCTCTCCGTTCAAGCCAGGTCCTCGGAAGTTTCTAGTAAAACGAGCCCTGCATTGGGGGGACAATGTAAGTATTTTATCCCCCATAATGATGCCGACGAGGATGATGATGATGCTGAGGATGCTTACGACGATGATGATGATGATGATGATGATGATGATGATGATGATGATGATGATGATGGTGGTGGTGGTGATGATGATGACGATGGTGATGATGATGATAATGCTGATGACGATGCTGATTATGATGAGAACGCCGATGATGCTGCTTGCGATACGGATGTTGCACCTGATGTTGATAGTGACAACGATGCGGAGGATGCTCCTGCAAGTGATGATGATGACGATGATGATAATGCTTGTGCTGATGATGATGATGATTGATGATGACGATGGTGATGATGATGATGGTGATGATGATGATGATGACGATGATGATGATAATGCTAATGACGATGCTGATTATGATGAGAACGCCGATGATGCTGCTTGCGATACGGATGTTGCACCTGATGTTGATGGTGACAACGATGCGGAGGATGCCCCTGCAAATGATGATGATGATGCTGCTGCTGATGATGATGTGGACGATGATGATGATGATGATGATGATGATGATGATGATGATGATGATGATGATGATGACGATGATGGCGATGCTGCTGATGATAATGATGATGCTGATGACGACGTTGCTGCTGATAATGTTGATGTTGTGATTGTTGTTGTCGTGATTGTTGTTGATGTTGTTGTTGTTGGTGTGGGTGTTGGTATTTGTGTTGTGGTTGTTGTTATTGATGATGCTGCTGCTGCTGATGCTAATGATGACGCGGTGAGTGATTGCGATGGTGATGATGATGATGCTGATGATGATGATGATGATGATGATGATGATGATGATGACGATGATGATGATGATGAGGAGGAGGAGGAGGAGGAGGGTAAGGAGGATGAGGAGGATGAGGATGAGGATGAGGCTGAGGATGGTGCCCATGATTATGCGGAAGAGGAGGATGAGCAGGAGGAAGGATGGAGAGGAAGAGCAGGAGGAGGATGATGGTGGCGGTGGTGGTGATGATGCTCATGCTGAGGACGATGCTGATGTTCATTATGCTGATGATGATGCTGACGACGATGATGATGATGATGATGATGATGATGATTCCTATGATGATGCTGACGATGATAATGATGATGCTGATGATGATGGTGGTGATGATGTTGATGATGCTGATGATGATGCTGATGATGATGATGAGGATGAGGATGATAATGATGACGATGCTGATGCTGATGATGATGTTGCTGATGATGATGATGATGATGATGATGATGATGATGATGGTGATGCTGATGATGATGATGATGATGATGATGCTGATGCTGGTGCTGATCTGCTGATCTGCTGATGATATGATGATGATGCTGAAGATGATGATGATGATGATGATGATGATGATGATGATGATGATGATGATGATGATGATGATGATGATGATGATGATGATGATGATGATGATGATATGATGATTATGACCATGACGATGACCATGACGATGATCATGACGATGGTGACGACGAGGAGTAGGAGGAGTTGGAGTGGGAGGAGGAGGAGGAGGAGGAGGAGGAGGAGGAGGAGGAGGAGGAGGAGGAGGTGGAGGAGGGACGGAAGACTGCGAGGATGTTGCCTGAATGAGGGTGCAAGCCTGAGGTCATCTCTCGTCCAGGGCGAGAAAGCACGACACCAGGCACCCGCGCCGCTGTCTTTTTGGCATGTAGTGTCCCCCGGGAAGGAGGGCGTCGGTGTTTTCGGAGCGCATGCGAGCAACTGTGCCACCTCTGGGTCCCGTACCTTGTATGCCATGAAACAGGGGTGAGGGATGAGGGACAGGAAAAGCGGTGAGGGAAATGGGGTGAACGATGAGGGAGCAGGGACATCAGAAGAGAACATAGGGAGATGTACGCGCAACTGAGGACGAGGAAAAGGAGCAGGAGGAGAAGGAGGGGGACCGTAGGGGGAAAGGGGACGAGAGAGGAAAGGGGAGGGGGAGAGGAGGGGAAGAGGAGGAGAGGAGGAGGAGGAGGAGGAGAGGAGGAGAGGATGAGGAGGAGGATGGAGGAGGACAGGAGAGAGAGGAAGGAGGAGGAGGAGGGAGGAAGAAGACAATCAGAGGAGGAGGCGGAGTAGGGGAAGGAACGAAGGAGACGATTAGAGGCGAGGAGGAGGAGAAAGTGAGAGGAGAGGAGGACGAGAGGAGAGGGCGGAGGAGGAGGAGGAACATGACATGATGATGATGATGATGATGATGATGATGATGATGATGATGATGATGATGATGATGATGATGATGATGATGATGATGATGATGATGATGATGATGATGATGATGATGATGATGATGATGATGATGATGATGATGATGATGATGATGATTTATGGTTATGATGATGATGAGGTTATTATGCTGCTAGCTAATGATCTGATGCATAGATGAGGATGATGCTGCTGATGATGCAAGGCTGATGATTGATATGCGATAGCATGTATGTGGTGATGCTGTTGATGATAGGATGAATGCGCTGCTAATGATGACTGGCTGATGAGATGAAGATGTAGATGAGTGTGGTGATGATGTTTGATGATGATGATGATGAGGATGGATGACTGCTGCAAAGAGGCTGGATGATGCTGTGCGATGAAGCTGAACAGATGATGATGATTATGGTGGTGTTGGTGATGAATGAATGATGATGATTCTTATGATGATGATGATGATGATGATGATGATGATGATGATGATGATGATGATGATGAGGATGATGATGATGATGATGATGATGATGATGATGATGATCTTGATGATGATGATGATGATGATGATGATGATGATGATGATGATGATGATGATGATGACGATGTGAAGATGATGCTGATGATGATGATGATGATGCTGATCATGATGATGAGGATGATGGTGATGATGCTGATTCTGATGCTGATGCTGATGCTGATTATGCTGCAGTCGATGATGATGATGATGGTGGTGATGATGTTGATGATGATGATGATGAGGATGATGCTGCTGCTAATGATGCTGATGATGCTGATGCTGATGATGCTGATGCTGATGATGATGATGATGATGATGGTGGTGTTGGTGATGAGGATGATGATGATGATTCTTATGATGATGGATTCTGATGATGATGAGCTTGAGGGTGAGGATGAGGATGCAGAGGAGGTGGAGGCGGAGGGGGAGGATGCTGATGATGGTGTTGATGAGGATGAGGATGAGGATGAGGATTCTGATGATTCTGATGATGACGATGGTGATGATGATGCTGATGATGATGATGATGATGCTGATCATGATGATGATGAGGATGATGGTGATGATGCTGATTCTGATGCTGATGCTGATGCTGATTATGCTGCAGTCGATGATGATGACTACGACGACGATGCTGATGCTGGTGCTTGTGCTGATGCTGATGATGATTATGATGATGACGGCGGTGATGATGATTATGATGGTGATGTTGATGATGATATTGATGATGTTGGTTATGATGATGATGCTGATGACGATGATGGTGGTGGTGGTGGCGATGGTGATGATGATGCTGCTGATGATGCTGATGCTGCTGCTGATGCTGATGCTGATGCTGATGCTGCTGCTGATGATGATGATGATGATGAGGATCATAGTCATGATGAGGGTGAGGTGGAGGAGGGTGAGGAGGAGTAGGAGGAGGAGGATGAGGAGGAGGAGGACCAGTGTAAACCCAAGACTCAGCAACGATGTCGCAATCCACTCTCCCTCCAAGTTTCTTCTTCACAGGTCTCAGAATGTATTCAGTCTCACTGAGGGAAGTGCCCCGTTTGAAGAGAACCGTCTGAAAATCCTGAGCCGTGCCAGGGCACCCTTCCTTGGACTTCAGCGCCGCGTCTCAACGTTGCGGTTGCGTCCTGGCCATCCTGAGTCGTGTCAGAACACCGTTGCTGAGTTTTCAATACCGCGAATCAACGTGGCTGTGGCGCCCTGACAGTCCTACGTCATGCTGACAAACAGTTCCAGGGCCGTCAAACATGACAATCCTTGCGCCTGCTGTAAGTTCTTAAGACGAGTGTGCGCGGCGCTAAGGTTGTTGCACACTTTTGTGACGATTGTGCCAGGGAGGAACCACATATTGTAAACCACCTGCCTTCCATGAGTGAAGCTCTTGCACACTTTAATACGAATGTGCGTGGCGCTAAAGCGAGAGCCACATTTTGAAAACGACTCGCCCTTCATCCATGAACCTCTTGACAATCTTCAGCTTAAGGATCATACGCGGTGAGGAAGTCTCAGGCGAAACGCCCCGCCCGCCCTACGGACACGCTTCGGGGTGCGACAGGGGGGGACTGTTTATAAGGAAAGGATGGAGGACGAGGGGTGGGGGGAGGAGGAGCAGGAGGAGGAAGAGGGGGTGGAGGAGCAGGAGGAGGAAGGGGACAGGGGGGAGGAGGAGGAGGAGAGGAGGAGGAGGAGGAGGAGAGGAGGAGGAGGAGGAGGAGGAGGACTTTTTTAACATCCGCAAAGCTACCCACATACACCACTGGGGTCGGGTGAGTCCCCCAGGGGAAAAACTGAGAGCGAGCAAGCAGTGAACGCAACTGAACAACAGCTCCGAAAATAATCAACAACACTCGCTGCTCCAGCAGCTGTGTGAAACCAGCGGGAGACGAATGCACGACACCAGGCTGGCAGCACATCAGCGAGCGAGCACCTCACAAGAGGTCCGCTGTGGGTGCCGACGGGTGGAGCCACCAAAAGTGAAAGAACATAAGAAGTTCATCAGTCGGAGCCAGATTCCAAAAAAGATGAGGAGGAGGAAGAGGGAGGAGGAGAAGGAGGAGGAGGAGGAGGAGGAGGAGGAGGAGGAGGAGGAGCAGGAGGAACAGGAGCAGGAGCAGGAGCAGGAGCAGGAGGAGGGATAACGACGACAAGGAGCCTTCGCCCCGCCCACCCGCTTGCGAGGCCGACGCCGCGGCGGTCAGCGTGGACCCTCGGGGCGCGCGTGCGCGCGCGAGGGCCGGCGCGCTCCGCGCAACACCAGTCCCATCAGCCTGCTGAGCGTGCCTTCCTCACAAAGCCAGACCAGTCACCACGACGACGACGACGACGACGACGACGACGACGACGACGACGACGACGACGACGGTGGCGGCGGCGACGAGGACGAGGACGAGGACGAGGACGAGGACGAGGACGAGGACGAGGACGACGACGACGACGACGACTCTGACTCTGGCTCTGACGACGACGCCGACGACGACGACGACGACGACGGCGGCGGCGGCGACGACGACAACGACGACGACGACAGACCAGTCACAGCGGTTCGTTTCGGAATCGGTCCTCCTCCTCATCCTCCTCGTCCTCGTCCTCCTCCTCCCGCTCATCCTCCTCCTCGACCTCCTCCTCCTCCTCCTCCTCCTCCCTCACCTCCTGTTCCTCCTCCTCCTCCTCCTCGTTTTCCTCCTCCTCCTCCTTCTTCTGCTCCTTCTCCTCCTCCTCCTCTTCCTCCTCCTCCTCTTGCTCATCGCCCTTCCTCCTCCTGCTCCCTCCTCCTCCTCCTCCTCCTCCTCTCCTCCTCCTCCTCCTCCTCCTCCTCCTCCTCCTCCTCCTCCTCCTCCTCTCCTCACTCCTTCCTCCCCCCCTCCTCCTGCCTCCTCCTCCTCCTCCTCCTCCTACCTCCTCTCCCCTCCTCCTCCTCCTCCTCCTACGTCCTCCCTCCTCCTCCTCCTCCTCCTCCTCCTCCCTCTCCTCGCTCCCCTCCTCCTCCGCCTCCTCCTCCTCCTCCTCTCCTCTTTTCCTCCTCCTCCTCTCCTCCTCCTCCTCCTCCTCCTCCTCCTTTCTCCTTCTTCCTGCTACTCCATCCTCTTCCTCGCTCCTTCTCCTCCTCCTCCTCCTCGTCCTCCTCCTCCTTCTCCTCCTCCTCCTCCCTCACCCGAACCCCTCCTGTTCCTCATCTCCTTCTTCTTGTCCCTCGTCGTCCTCCTCCTTCTCGTCCTCCTCCTCCTCCTATTCCTCCTCCTCCTCCTTCTCCTCCTCCTCCTTCTCCTCCCCAGGGTGGCTTGCGGGCCCTCGAATGAGCCTGGGTGGGTTTGGCGGGCCCTCGCATGGTCCATCCCCCCCTCTCCCTCCCCTTCACCCTTCAGCCCTGGGAGGGAGGACGGACCGACCGCTGTGCGATGACGTCTGGCACCCCTGGCGGGGCAACCGTAGGCCCAGAGGGAGGTTGCTTGTCCACGCCGGGGTGTTAAAACGGCCTATGGGCCGGAGTCCCACCCGCAAGTCCGACACGCAATTCCCAACGTCCTCCTCGTCCCCCCCACCTCCTCCTCCTCTTGCTCCTTTTCTTGCCCTTCCTCCTGCTCCTCCTCCTTCTCCCCCCCCGGCCCGTGCCCTTCTTCCTGCCCCGTACCCCATAACAGCCAGCATAACGAGTCGGCCTGCAGGCTGCGCTCGTGGATCATCCAGCTTCCCTGGTGCAGCCCCAGCCTGGCAGATTTCGCTCGTGATTTGTGCGCAGAGCCCAGAATCCTCCCCCTTTTCTCCTGCTCCTCCTGCTGCTGTTCCTCCTCCTCTTCCCCCTCCTCCTCTTCCTCCTCCTTCTCCTCATCCCTCCCCCTCCCTCCCCCTCTTCCTTCAACCCCTCCTCCACCTCCTCTTCCTCCTCCTCCTCCTCCTCTTCCTCTTCTTCCTCCTCCTCCGCCTCGTCCACATTCCTCCTCCTCCTCCTGCTCCTCCTGCTCCTCCCCCTTTCCTTCTCCCTCCTCCTCCTCCTCCTCGTCCTCCTCCCCCTCCTCCTCGCCGTCCTCCCCCACCTCCTCCTCCTCCTCCTCCTACATGCCCTTCTCACTGACTCGGTGGCTGGGCGGCGAGGCGGGGCACGTCGTCGTCATCGTCGTCTTCCTCCTCCTCCTCTTCCTCCTCTTCTTCTTTTTTCCTCCATTCCTTGTCCTATAGATAACTCCTCCCTGTCGCACCCCGAGGCCAGTTTTTAGGGCGGGCCGGGCGTTTTGCCTGAGACTTCCTCACCATGTATGATTCGGAAGCTTAAACAGTGACAACAGTTTCACACATGGAGGGCGGGTCGCTTTCAAAATGCGGCTCTCGCCTTAGCGCTGCGCGTATTCGTTGTAAACATTTGCAAGAGCTTCACGGATTGAGGGCAGGTGGTTTTCAAAGTGGCTCTCGCCTTAGCGCCGCGCACATTCGTTTTTCAAATGTTGCAAGCGTTTCATGGATTGAGGGCGGGTGGTTTTCAACATGTGGTTCTCGCCTCAGCGCCGCGCGCATTCGTTTTAAACACTTGCTAGAGTTTCCTTGATTGAGGGCGGGTGGTTTTCAAAATGTGGCTCTCGCTTTAGCGCCGCGCGCATTTGTTGTAAAGTTTGCAAGAGTTTCACGGATTGAGGGCGGGTGGTTTGCAAAATGTGGCCCTCACCTCAGCGCCGCGCACATTCGTTTCAAACATTTGCAAGAGTTTCACGGATTAAGGGCGGGTGGTCTTCAAAATGTTGCTCTCGCCTTAGCGCCGCGCGCATTCGTTCTAAACATCTTCAAGAGCTTCACGAGTTGAGGGTGGTTCCTTCTCAAGATGTTGCTCTCGCCTAAGCGCCGCGCACATGCGTTTGAACAAAGTGCACGAGTTTCACGGATTCCCATGAACAACGTACCAGGCACTTATATATATATATATATATAGATATATAGAAGGGCTCAGTATTATGCGAACGCAGCAATTATGTTGATTCGCTGTGTTGAAGTCGCCAACATGGCGTTCTGGCACGAGTCTGGATCGTCAAGACGCAGCAGCCAGGTTGATACGTGTCGTTGAAATCCCGAGGACAATTTTTTGGTACGCTTCAGGATCTTCAAACTGCTGTCTTCCAACGAGGCAGTTCCCTCCATGGAAATGAACCGTTGCAGGGGCCTATGATGAGGGAGCGTGGAGGGAGGGTTAATTCCAACATCGTTGATGACTCTTGGGTTTCCACTGGTCCTCCTCCTCCTCCTCCTCCTCCTCCTCCTCCCCCTCCTCCCCCTCCTCCTCCTCCTCCTCCTTCCCTCCTCGTGATCTCCCTCCCTGTTCCGTCCTCGTTCCCTCCTTCCCTCCTCGGTCCCTCTCACTCCCAGTTCCCCGTCCCAGCTGCTTCTCCTTCCTTCGGCCTCTGGGCCCGTCTCCAGCTCCCTGGGGCCGTCTGGCACGGATCTGGAGCGAGGAGCTGCCCCCGTGGAAAGGGTCCAGTCTGCGGCTGCGGATTGGAACAAACATCGTTTGATGTTTGGGAGCGACGACGACACCGACGACGGCGACGACGACGACGACGACGACGGCGACGACGACGGCGACGACGACGACGACGTCGACGACGACGTCGACGACGACGGCGACGACGACGACGACGACGACGACGACGAGCACGACCGCGCGCGGCAGGACGCGGGCGGCATACTCGCCTGGGCCGGCAGCGTGGCTGGCGCCGCCGAGGCCCATCGAGCACAGGCCCCCAGGGGGTTGGGGGGGGGGGAGGATCGCGGACAGGGGGTCGAGGATTGGGGGGGGGAGGGTGTAAGGGACCGAGGCCCGAAGTGCCCGAGCATCGATGATCGAGGATCGGGAGGGGCTCGAGGATCGAGGATCGATGATCGAGGCCCATCGAGCACAGGCTCCCACTGGGGTGGAGGATCGAGGATCGATAGTCCTCAGGACCAGCATCACCCAAGCATGCTTATCGAAGACGCCTTCGGCGAGTCAGCGCCGCCCCCTGCCTTTCTTGGAAGCGCCTGTGTGGCCGCCACAAAGTTGGGCCATGCGTTCCCCCAGCTTTCGTTGGAACCCTTTCGGTAGGTTGATGATGCTGATGATGATGATGATGATGATGATGATGATGCTGGTGCTGATGCTGATGCTGATGCTGATGCTGCTGATGATGCTGCTGATGATGCTGCTGATGATGATGCTGATGCTGATGCTGACGATGGTGATGGTGATGGTGATGGTGATGGTGATGGTGATGGTGATGAGGGTGATGATGATGGTGATGCTGATGATGCTGATGATGATGATGCTGACGCTGATGATGATGCTGATGATGATGCTACTGATGATGACGATGATGACGATGATGATGATGATGATTCTGATGATGATCATGATGGTGATGATGCTGAGGATGATGATGATGATGATGATGATGATGATGATGATGATGATGATGATGATGATGATGATGATGATGATGATGATGATGATGATGATGATGATGATGATGATGATGATGATGATGATGATGATGACGACGACGACGACGACGACGACGACGACGACGACGACGACGACGACGAGGAGGAGGAGGAGGAGGAGGAGGAGGAGGAGGAGCTGGAGGAGGAGGAAGAGGAGGGAGGTGAAAGTGGAGGAGTAGACCTCTTGGGAGCCTCTTGGGGCACTTGGGGTCTCCTGTGAGCTTCCTGGGAGCCCATTGAAGGCCTCTTGGAGCCTCTTGTGAGCCTTTCGTGGCTTTTTCGGGCCTCGTTGGTCGTCTCAGGGCGTTCTTGGGCCGTCTGACGCCGTTCTCTGGACCGTCTTGGGGCCCTCTTGGGGCGCTTCAGGGCCGTCTTGGAGGCCATCTTGGGCGTCAGTGAGGCCTCTTGGGCCGTCTTGGGGCCCCGCTCTGGGCAGTTTTTGGGGGCCTCTTGGGCCGTCCTGGGGCCATCTTGGAGGCCTCTTGGGCGCGCCAGGGGCGACCTTGGAGGCCTCTCGGGCAGTCTTGGGCCCTCGGACGACCGAGAAGAAGCAACTGCCAAAATCTGTCAAAAACCCAGGGGCGATCAGCGATTTTGGCCTCGTTGGGCTTTCCCGGAGGACCTCTTGGAGGCCTCTTGGGCCGTCTTGGAGGCCCCTTGGGGGCCTCCTGGGCTGTCTTGGGCCATCTTGGAGCCGCCTTGGGCCGTCTTGGTGGCTTCTTGGGTGGACTTGGGGGCATATCTTGACTTCTTGGACCCTCTTGGGCCGTCTTGGAGACCATCTTGGACCATCTTGGGCGAACTTGGAGGCCATCTTGAGCAGTCTTGGGCGATTTTTCCTGACGTTGAGGTTGTTTGCGGTCCCTTCCAGGTGGCTGGCGCGTTGTGCCGAAGCCCTAGAAGAACCACCCCCCTCCTGAACCTCAGCATGCCGGGCACCCCTGCCTGTGGCAACCAATAGGGGGCGGCGGATCTAATGGCCTTCGGCCCATCCCGCCTCCGTGACTTGGTTGTGGGTCATAGGTCTCTTGGATGTTCGTCGGGATGTCGCGGGAGACCTCTCGGGAGCCTCTTGGGGGCCATTTGGAAGCCTCTTAGGGGCCGTTTTGGGGCCTTTTGGGGCGTCTTCGGGGCTTCTTGGGGGTCTTGGGGACCTCCTGGGGCCTCCTTGGGGCCTCCTGGAGGCCCCCAGAGGCTTCCAAGAGCTGCGTGCAGCACCGGGCCCTCCGGCAGTGTCGTCGGCAGAACGTGTTCCAATGCCCCCCTCTCCCCCCCTTCTCCCCCCCTTCTCCCCTCCTCGGTCCCTGCCTCTTCGCCCCCTGGGGTGGCTTCGCTGCCCCTTTCCTCACCGTTCCTCCACTCGAAAAGTGCCTACTCGCGAACGCCCGAAAAACACACGTCTGCATCGGTGCAAATGTATCGTGTGAATCCCCATGTGGCGGATCCAGGCCATTTGCAAGCAGGATCGTGGAACTCGCTTGTCTTTTTCCGCTGCCCTCACCCGCGGGTGCTGCGACTTGGAGCGTCGTGGGGCTCTGAGAGAGTGGGCAACTCCTGTTTCTAAACGGTCACGACGATTCCAATCTCGTTAAAAGCGGCTTACCCTTGTCAGAGAACACTGGGCTTTATATGAACTCAGCTCTCCGCTCGAACTGAGGCGGCAATGCATTGAACCACCACCACGCTCCACCGTCCAAAGCCCCATCCAGCCAGCAAATCATGCAGACGATCCCATAGTCGAGGCTGCTGGCGACGCAATGGGGCGCCGTGGGGCTGGGTGAAGCCCTGGCGCTCGCAGCGGCGGACTCCGCGTCGGCCTCCGCCCCCCCGCCTTCGCGCGGTGACGGGCGCGCGCCTCGTGGGCGGGCTGTGCTCGCAGCAGGGCCCTGCCCCGAGCCTCGGCGCCCCCCATTTTTCTCCCATCCACCTGCCGTTCTCTCCTCTCCTCTCTTCTCTCCTCTCCTCTCCTCTGCCTTTTCCTCTTCCTCTTCCTCTCCCTCTGACTTTTCCTCTTCGTCTTCTCTTCTCTTCTCTTCTCTTCTCTTCTCTTCTCTTCTCTTCTCTTCTCTTCTCTTCTCTTCTCTTCTCTTCTCTTCTCTTCTCTTCTCTTCTCTTCTCTTCTCTTCTCTTCTCTTCTCTTCTCTTCTCATCTCTTCTCTTCTCTTCTCTTCTCTTCTCTTCTCTTCTCTTCTCTTCTCTTCTCTTCTCTTCTCTTCTCTTCTCTTCTCTTCTCTTCTCTTCTCTTCTCTTCTCTTCTCTTCTCTTCTCTTCTCTTCTCTTCTCTTCTCTTCTCTTCTCTGTCTTCTCTCTCTTCTCTCTCTCTTCTCTTCGCTTCCTTCGCTTCCTTCTCTTTCTTTCTCGCTTCTCTTCTCTCTACTTCTCTTCTTCATCTTCTCTTCTCTTCTCTTCTCTTCTCTTCTCTCTCTTCCCTCTTCTCTCTCTTCTCTTCTCTTCTCTTCTCTTCTCTTCTCTTCTCTTCTCTTCTCCTTCCCTTCTCTTCTCTTCTCTTCTCTTCTCTTCTCTTCTCTTCTCTTCTCTTCTCTTCTCTTCTCTTCTCTTCTCTTCTCTTCTCTTCTCTTCTCTTCTCTTCTTTTCTCTTCTCTTCTCTTCTCTTCTCTTCTCTTCTCTTCTCTTCTCTTCTCTTCTCTTCTCTTCTCTTCTCTTCTCTTCTCTTCTCTTCTCTTCTCTTCTCTTCTCTTCTCCTCTCTTCTCTTCTCTTCTCTTCTCTTCTCTTCTCTTCTCTTCTATTCTCTTCTCTTCTCTTCTCTTCTCTTCTCTTCTCTTCTCTTCTCTTCTCTTCTCTTCTCTTCTCTTCTCTTCTCTTCTCTTCTCTTCTCTTCTCTTCTCTTCTCTTCCTATCCTCTTACTACTCCTTTTCTGATTATATTATATTATCTTCCTCCTCTTCTCTGCTTCCTCTTCTTCTTATCTGATTCCTCTCTTCTCTTCCTCCTCTTCCTCTTCTCTTCTCTCCTTTCCTCCCCTCTCCTCTCCTCTCCCTCTTCCTCTTCCCTTTCCTCTTCCTCTTCCTCTTCCTCTTCCCCTTCCCCTTCCTCTCCTCACCTCTCTTCCTGTCTCTTCTCTTCTCTCCTCTCCTCTCCCTCTCCTCTCCTCTCCCCTCTCTCCTCTCTCCTTTCTCCTCTCTCCTCTTCTTCTCTCCTCTCTCTCTCTCTCTCTCCTCTCTTTTCTCTCCTCTCTCTCTCTCTCTCCTTCTCCTCTCTCCTCTCTCTCTCTCCTCTCTCCTCTCCTCCTCTCGCGTCCTCTCTCCTCTCTCTCTCTCCTCTCTCCTCTTCTCTCTCTCTCTCCTCTCCTCTCTCCTCTCTCCTCTCTCCTCTCTCCTCTCTCTCACTCCTCTCCTCCCTCCTCTCTTCCTCTCTTCTCTCCTCCTCTCCTCTCTCCTCTCTCCTCTCCTCTTCTATCCTCTCTCCTCTCTCCTCTCCTCTTCCTATTCCTCTCCTTCTTCCTCTCCTCTCCTCTCTCTCTCTCTCTCTCATCCTCTCTCCTCTCTCCTCTCTCTCTCGCTCTCCTCTCTCCTCTCGCCTCTCCTCCGCCTCCTCTCGCTCTCTCATCTTCCTCTCGCTCTCCTCTCCTCTCCTCTCTCTCTCCTCTCCTCTCTCCTTCTCCCTCTCCTCTCCACTCCTCTCCTAGGGGCCCTCGCCGGGCACCGGGACCGTCAAAAAACGACTCGGGGCGAAACACCGGTCCCGGGGAAGTGGTCGGGAGGTCGGAGGCCCGTGTCTCGAAAAAATGGAGGCGTCGGATGTCTGGGTCCCCAGGGCACGCCAGCCAGCCGGCCTCCTCCTTGGCCGAGCCGTGGGTTCCGCGCCCGCAGCGGCACTCCAGCCAGCCTCCTCCTCCGCCCCCTCCGCCTCCTGCTCCTCCCGGTCCACCTCCCTCCCCACCCTCCTGCCTCCCTCCTCTCCCCTCCTCCGCCTCCTCTGCCTCCTCCGCCGCCTTCTCCTCCTGCTCCTCCCGATCCCACTTCACCCTCCCTCCTCCCACCTCGTGTCGTGATTTCTTCGTGACTCGAGGGGGTTTGGGCCCTCCTCCCTCCCTCCTCCGCCTCCTCCGCCTCCGCCGCCCTCCCCCGCTAAGCGTGGGCGGCGGCCGCCTTGGTCGAGGGGCAGGGTGCCGAGGCGCCCGCGGCCGGCGTCGCGGCGGGCGCAGCCTCGCAGGACCAGGGGCGGCCAAGGCTTAAGTCGGGGATGTCCCTCTACAGTTATGTTGCTCCCATCGTACTTCAGGACCGCACCCCAGAAACAGTAGCGAAGCAGTGTCGAAACAGTATCGAACGAGTGTCTCCCAGGGCCCGACACGTGAAAACCCTCGAGTGTCGGTGCTCCGTGGTGCTCGAAATTCTCTCTGGTAATCAAGGCTAAGGCAGGTCGGAACACCATAGCTCTGCAGGAGGACTGCTCGAAATCAGCTGGAACATAGCCAGGGGACGACCTTCCGACTATTTTTTTGACTATCTCTGCGTACCTTTGATTCTCTTCCCAAATCCGCCGGTAGGAAGCCGTGCCCGACTCGAGCCACGGCGGGAGCAAAGGGGGGGGGGCCCAGAACCCGTCCCGCCACGACCCCGCTCGCCCACGCGCAGACCCAGTGATCCGACGCCCCGGAGAACGTCGGAGCGGGCGGGCTTTGTCGCCGCGCCTCGTGGCCGTCCAGCAGCGACCTCGGGGCGCAACGCTGGCCCCGAGGGAACTGTCCAGACCTCCGGGGCCCACGCGTCGAACAGCAGTGGAGCAGCCGAGTGTCTGGGGAGGGGGGCAGGGGAGAGGGGGGGGGGACGGCTTCCCGGAGGCACCCCTGCTTCCGAGAAGCCTTCCCCCCTCCCCCTGCCTCCTCGTGCGCGCCGCCAGCTTGCCCCTCCCCGACCCGGACGTGTCCGGAGGCTCTCGCCAGTTCTTCGAGGTTTACCCTCGCCCACCGCGGGCTTCCCTCTGCTGTGAGCTGTCGCTCGCTGCTCTGCGCTGCCGCCAGGAGCTTGCCGGCGTCGGAGCATCTCCGCTACCGTCCTCTTCCTCCTCCTCCTCCTCCTTCTATTTCTCCTTCTATTTCTCCTCCTTTTCCTTCTCCTCCTCATGCTCCCTTTCCTCTTCCCTCTTATCCCCCTCCCCCTTCCCCTCTCCTCTTCCTCCTCCTTCTCCTCCTCCTCCTCCTCCTCCTCCTGTTCTCCACTCGACAACTATTCCATAGGAACGCTCGTTACCCTTTTCTCTCCCCAGATGTTGTGCGAGCTCGGCCCCTGTTCTCCCGCATGCTGCTGTTACACAGGATTTCAGTCTGCGAGGTATCGTATCTCCCTCAGATCGAAATGCACTTTGATTGCCATGGTGCTCCCGCTGCAGCGTTGGCCTCCTTTCAGGATCGGCGCTTGGCTCCCGCCGATCGGAATGACGCTCTCGCCCCAGCACGGGTCACGGTCCTAGATCCGATTCGCTCCTCGTCGCTGCCGCCCCTTCCCTTTCCCCTCGTCCGCCTTCCCCTGGTCCTTTGCTCCTCCCGTTCCCCCTGCTCCTGCTCCTGCTGCTGCTGCTGCCACTTGTTCCCCGAGTCGGTTTGGAAAGCCTTCGGGGAACGCGTGGGGGAGCAAGAGGAGGAGGATCAGGAGAGGGATGATTCTGATGATGATGATGCTGCTGCTGATGATGCTGATGATGCCGATGCTGCTGCTGCTGCTGATGATGATGGAGAAGAGTGATGATGATGGTGCTGCTGACGATGATCATGATGATGATGGTTGCGATGATAATGAAGATGACGACGATGACGATGATGATGATGATGATGACGATGATGATGCTGATGCTACTATGATGATGACGATGATTATGAAGATGATGATGAACATGATGAAGATGAGGATGATGATGATACACATGATGATGATGCTGATGCTGATGCTGAAGCTGATGCCGATGATGATCATGATACTGGTGGTGGTGATGATGCTGATGCTGATGATGACGACGGTGCTGATGCTGCTGATGATGCTGATGATGATGACGATGATGATGACGATGCTGATGATGCTGCTGATGATGATGCTGATCACAATGATGATGAGCATGCTGCTGCTGCTGATGATGAGGATGATGATGATGCTGATGCTGATGCTGATGCTGCTGCTGCGAATGATGATGATGATGATGATGCTGATGATGATGACAATGATGATGCTGATGATGATGATGCTGATGATGCTGATGATGATGATGCTGATGCTGATGCTGCTGCTGATGATGATGCTGATGCTGATGCTGATGCTGACGCTGCTGCTGCTGATGGTAATGATGATGATGCTGATGATGATGATGATGATGATACTGATGCTGATGCTGATGCTGATGATGATGCTGCTGATGATGATGACGATGATGATGATGATGATACTGATGATGATGATGATGGTGGTGATGATGCTGATGATGATGATTCTGATTATGATGATGACGATGATGCTGCTGATGATGATGATGATTATGATGATGATGATGCTGATGATGATGACGATGATGATGATGATGATGATGATGATGATGCTGATGATGATGATGATGATGATGATGATGATGATGATGATGATGATGATGATGATTGATGATATGATGATGATGATGATGATGATGATGATGATGATGATGATGATGATGATGATGATGATGATGATGATGATGATGATGATGATGATGATGATGATGATGATGATGATGATGATGATGATGATGATGATGATGATGATTAGGAGGAGGGGAGGAGGAGGAGGAGGAGGAGGAGGAGGAGGAGGAGGAGGAGGAGGAGGAGGAGGAGGAGGGGGAAATGGAGAAGGATGAGAAGGCAGGAAGACAGTAGCAACAGCAGGAACCGGAGTGGAAGGAGTGGGGGCAGCAGGAGGACCAGGGGAAGGCGGAGGAGGGGACATGAGGGGGCGGAGTATGAAGAAGGACTCGGATCCAGCACAGTGGCCCGCCCCAGGGCGAAAGCGCCATTCTGAATGACGGGAGCGCAGCTCCGATCCGAACAGGAGGCCCACGCCGCAACGGGAACGTCAGTTTGAAGCACTGAAACGACCGGACGGTGGCACAAACATGTACGAAACCAACATTTTGGGCATCATGTGCGTTAAACCGTTGGACGCGGAGAGGGCCGAACATCTCCCGCACAAGGTCAGCGGAGAGGAGAGTAGCCTTCATACAGTGTAGTTGTCAAGAAGGGTGAAGCACATGGATGAGAGAACGTGGAAGGAAGGGATGGGGAAGGGAAGGGGGTATGATGAAGGGGCGCTGAACGGGGGAAGCAGATGTTGCGGGAGGGGGAGAGATAGAGTGGGGGTGAGGAGGCGAGGAAATCACTATGGAGAGAGGGGGGAGAGCAGATGGGAAAAGGCGAGCAGGGGGATGGGACCACGGGAGGGATCGGGGGGAGCGGAAACACTGGACTGGAGGAGCCGACAACAAGGGATGGGGATGAGAAGGACTGCAGAAAGGGGTGGCGGGGCAGGTGTCTGTTTTGCCCGCCAAGGACATGCACAACGACACGACCGCTCCGACGGCAGCGCCGACGGCAGCTCCCACAGAAGCTCCGACGGCAGCTCCTACAGCAGCGCCGACCGCAGCGCCGACGGCAGATCCGACAGAAGCGCCTACAGCAGCGCCGACCGCAGTGCCGACGGCAGCTCCGACGGCAGCTCCAACAGCCAGCGCCGACAACAGCTCCGTGCCGACAGAAGCTCCAACGGCAGCTCCGACAGACGCGCCGACAACAGCGCCGACGGCAGCTCCGACAAACAGCACCGACAACAGCTCTGTGCCCACAGAAACTCCGACGGCAGCTCCGACAGGCGCGCCGACATCAGCGCCGACGACAGCTCCGACAAACAGGAGCGACAACAGCTCCGTGCCCACAAGCGCTCCGACGGCGGCGCCTACGGCTGCTCCGACGAAAGCCCCAGCCGAGACTCCGACGGTTGCGCCGCCGAAGCCGAAGCCCAAGCCCGAGCCAAACGTGTCGGCCAAGCCGGAGCCAACGCCGAAGCCGAAGCCCCAGCCGACCGCGTCCGACGGCAACGACACGAAGCAGGCCAAGCCCGCCGCCAAGCCAGCAGCCGAGGCCTCGCGCCCCGACGCGGGGAATGAGGGGTGGAGGGAGATGATTGGAGGATGAGCGAGGAGGAGGGAGGAGGGAGGGAGGGGGAATGATGAGGGAGGAGGGAGGAGGGAAGGGGCATCAGGAGGAGCAGGAGGAGGATCACTAGGAGTATGAGGAGGTGCAGGAGGAGGAGGAGAAGGAGGAGGAGGAGGAGGAGAAAGATGAGGAGGAGAAGGAGGAGGGAGGAGGGAGGAGGGAGGAGGCGGAGGAGGACCAGTGCAAACCCAAGACCCATCATCGATGTTGCAATGAACCCTTCCTTCAAGTTCCCTATTCATAGGCCCCTACAAGGATTTATTTCCACTGAGGGAAACGCCCTGTTGGAAGACAACCGTTTGAAAATCGTGAACTGTGCTGCCAGAACGCCATTCCTGGATCTTCAATGCCGCCAGTCACCAGTACGGTTACGTCTTGACGATTTGGAACCGTGTCAGATCACCTCGAATCAATTTACCTGTTGCGCCCTGGCAGTCCGACATCGTGCCAAAACACGATTTTAGAATGTAACCCATGAGAACATGTGAAGCTGTAATGAACTCTTAAAACGAAAGAGCGCGGCGCTAGCTAAGCGGAGAGTCACATTTCGAAAAGGAACCGCCTTCCAGTCGTGAAGCTGTCGCAATTTTGCTCGACAACTGTGCGCGGCGCGACTGCGAGAGCCACATTTTGAAAACGATCCGCCCTCCATCCGTGAAACTCCTGCATTTTTTTAACGGATGTGCGCGGCGCTAAGGCGAGAGCCACATTTGGAAATTGACCCGCCCTCCATCCGTGAAACTGTTACAATTTTCAAGCTTCAGAACCAGAAGTGGTGAGGACGTCTTCGGCGAAACGCCAGGCCCGCCCTTTCGACCGGCCTCGGGGTGAGACGGAAAGGAGTTGTTTTATAAGGAAAAGGAATGGAGGAGGAGAAGGAGGAGGATGAGGAGGAGAAGGAGGAGGAGGAGGAGGAGGAGAAATGGAGGACGGAGGAGGGTTCTGGAAGAGGGCTTTTGCAGTCAAGGAGGATTTGAAATAGTTTCGAAGATTTCGAGGGATTTGAAGGGTTTTAAATGATGCAGGGGGGCCGTCATTCTAGCTCACTGGCGCTGTTGATGGATTCGCTTTTGGAATGACCTCGAGGAGCAGGATGAGCAGCCGCAGCAGTCGGAGGGACGGAGGTCGAGGAGGACGAGGAGGAGGAGGAGGAGGAGGATTCAATTAAGCAGGACGAGGAGGAGGGGAGGAGGACGAGGGTGGAAAGGAGGAGGAGGAGGAGGAGGAGGAGGAGGAGGAGGAGGAGGAGGAGGAGGAGAGGGAGGCGGATGCGGAGCATTAGATAGAGGAGAAAGAGGAGGAGCATGAGCAGTATCAGAAGTATGAGCGGGGATGGGAGCGAGGAGAAGAGTACGTGGACGAGGAAGCGAGTGACGATGTTGACGGGGAAAGGAGGGGAGAATTGAGGAAAAGCTGGAACACGAGGAGGTATGGGCAGGCCAGGGTGAGGCGGAGGAGAAGGAGGAACGGGGAGAAGTCGGCGCTGTCGGCAGGAGTTCGTTTAGCTGGACAGCGCGTGGCCTGCGCGCTCGGGAGATTCGCACGCCGTGGCATGCGTGTGTGCGAGATTTGACCGCTGCAGCCGCGAAGGTAGCATACACCTTAGGCGATGCTTAAGAAAACCTAAGTTTTCGGCCAGAGTCTCGATTATTCTTGATGTTTCAATGTAAATCCTAAGATTTGAATGGGCATTCTGGGTTTTTATTTAAATTCTGAGACTATCAATTTCTTAACCCATGATTTCTAAAGCATTTCGCAGGGTGTACCGCTGTGTGAACTTGGATTGTGCGGGCCCTGGTGCAATCTCGATTGTGCGACCTTCGATTGTGCGGACTTGCGTTGCGTGATGTTCGTGTGACAGCCGTCGAGTAAGAGCTTCTGCTGTGAGCCATGAGCAGCCAGAACCCATCGCTAGTTCGGTGGAGGAAGATGCTTAGCAGCGTCAGCAGGAGGGGGACGATCCTCGGATTCAGAGGTCCCTCGAGGTCTCCAGAGAACGCATTCCTTTGGTGGGTGTCTCCAGAGGCCCCACAATAACCTCACACATTTGCCAGCGTGCACCCCAAGCAGTGAATTCTGGCACTCTGGATGTGTAGGCTATTCGGTGCAATATATATATATATATATATATATATATATATATACATATATACACATATAACAACAAACAGATCTGTGGTGCAAGGTACGTGGTGTGCACGCTATGTGGCACAATCCATGTGGGGCACGCTATGTGGTGCGAGCTATCTGGTGCAAGACATGTATTAATCCATGTGTTGGAAGTCATGCAGTGCAAGCTACGTGGCGGGTGGTTTTAAACCATGTGACTGAAGGTGTGTTGTGCAACCTGTGAAACCATACGGTGTGGTGCAAGCTATGCTGTGCACGCCACGTGCAAGCCATGTGGTTCAGCGCATCATGTGCACTCTACAGTCCACCCGCACAGCAAGGATGAGCGACGTTCCAGGGCTGCCCCTTGCATCCCTGCCCCTTCGGCCTATCCGTGGTAACTTTCGCTGGCCAACCTCGCTCGAAAAAGCAACATGTGTCTTCGGCGGCGAGGCAGGAGGGCTGCACCAGCGATGGAGCCAATCGGGGGCACCGAGAAGCGAATTGGCCAGCGTGCAGGAGAGGGGAGAAAACGGACATGGCGGCCGCGGAGGAGGGAGGAGGGGCCGCGCAGAGGCGGACGACTTCCGACCCGAGTGCGCCTGCGCGGCCGCCCCCCGTCGGCGAGAACCATGGCAGCAGCCGGGCCGCAGCGCCGGGACACCCACGGGCGATGACGGGACCCAGTACGCGAAAGCACAGGGGATCGCAGAGACGTCGTCGGTGAGGCAGGACCAGGCACCTGCATGTCGGGAAGAGCGCCGCGAGGCCGCCCAGAGGAGGGTGGCCCGGTCGAGAGGGTGCGGCAAGTTCACGAGCAATCGGGGTTCCAGCTCGCTCGAAGACCAGGAACATGGCCCTCCAAGGCCCTTGGAGCGTGTTTCTTTCTTGCTTGGGACATAATGGGCATTATAGCCCCCGGCCCCCCACTCCCCCCCTCTCTATAACGTAACGCCCCTCCCCCCCGCAGTGCGCTCCGGGCACTGCCGCCGGGCGCGCGGCGGGGGGGAGGCGTCGCATTACACGCCTCCCCCTGGCTCCCCCTCCCCCCCTATGATGCAGATTATCGCCGAAAATAGAGAAACGCGCTCCAGGGGTGGAAGACGCACACGGACACGATTAATCGTCGGTTCCCCGGAAAAGATGGGGAACATATTAGCAGTGCGGGGTGGGGGGGGGCGGAAGACGGAAACGTAGAAGGTATGGGGAACTCTGGGACATCTCGCCTCGGATTTCCGCCGATTTATTTATGCAAGTCAGAGGAGGCCCCCTCCTCCTCCTCCTCCTTCTCCTCCTCCTCCTCCTCCTCCTGCTCCTCCTCCTCCTCCTCCTCCTCCTCCTCCTCCCTCCTCCCCCTCCCCCTCCCCCCTTCTCCTCTCCCTCCCCCTCCCCCTCTTCTCCTCCTTCTTCTCCTCCTCCTCCTCCTCCTTCTCCTCCTCGCTCTCTGCGCTGGGCTCCTCGTCCCCCTCCTCCCCAACCTCCCCGCCCCCTCCTCCCCGCGCGCGCCGCGCGCGAGGCCTCGGCGGGCGGTGCGCCGGTGTTCCACTGCTCGCAAAGTGCCTATTCGCAGACGTCCGAGAAGCCCCTTTGTCTGCTCTGACGGAATTCGTCGCAGACCCCCCGCGTGGCCATCTGCGAGCAGTTTCTCTGTGAGCGGTGGAGCGCGCTCGTCGGGTCAGGTCGGGCCGGGTGCCCCTGCGGGAGGAAGGGTCAAAAATAGTCAAGCAATAGTCCGGGGGCGATTCTGCGAATACCTTGGGAGCATTTTTGGATCTATCTCTCTAGCCTATTTTTGATTTGTCATCCAGAGTTCGCCCGTAGGAGGACCCGCCCGACGTATTCTTAGGTCGGGCACGTCCTCCTACAGAGGGACTTTGGAGGGCACAATTGGAAATAGTCAAAGCACATTCAAGCATAGTCAGAGAATGATCAGAAAATCGTCCCCAGACTATTTCCCCACATCCTAAGTGGGGTTCTTGTTTTCTCGGCACACCCTCCGCGCAGGATCTCTCCTCCCCCTCCTCCTCCTCCCTCTCCTCTGCTCCTCTTTGCTTCCTCCTCCGCATCATCATCACCATCACCATCACTCCCCACTCATCATCATCATCACCATCAGCAACACCATCACCATCCCACGATCACTCACCATCATCGGCATCGAACGATCATCATCATCATCATCACTACTCGCTGACTTAAGGCCTGAATATGGAGGAAGTCTCGAGCGGGAGCTTCGTCTGTGAGTGAATTGCGAGGAAGTCTCAGGCGGGAACCCCCTCCCTATGGGGCCCGCACTTCATGTTTGAATCCGAGCGGGTCATCCGCAACGTGCAACTGTCGTCACTTTTGGGCTCTTGAGACTTGAATATGGAGGAAGTCTCGAGCGGGAGCCTCGTCTGTGAGTGAATTGCGAGGAAGTCTCAGGCGGGAGCCCCCTCCCTATGGGGCCCGCACTTCATGTTTGAATCCGAGCGGGTCATCCGCAACGTGCAACTGTCGTCACTTTTGGGTTCTTGAGATATGAATATGGAGGAAGTCTCGAGCGGGAGCCTCGTTTGTGAGTGAATTGTGAGGAAGTCTCAGCGGGAGCCCCCTCCCTATGGGGCCCGCACTTCATGTTTGAATCCGAGCGGGTCATCCGCAACGTGCAACTGTCCTCACTTTTGGGCTGTTGAGATTTGAATATGGAGGAAGTCTCGAGCGGGAGCCTCGTCTGTGAGTGAATTGTGAGGAAGTCTCAGGCGGGAACCCCCTCCCTATGGGGCCCGCGCTTCATGTTTGAATCCGAGCGGGTCATCCGCAACGTGCACTGTCGTCACTTTTGAGCTTTTGAGATATGAATACGGAGGAAGTCTCGAGCGGGAGCTTCGTCTGTGAGTGAATTGCGAGGAAGTCTCAGGCGGGAGCCCCCTCCCTATGGGGCCCGCGCTTCATGTTTGAATCCGAGCGGGTCATCCGCAACGTGTAACTGTCGTCATTTTTGGGCTCTTGAGATTTGAATATGGAGGAAATCTCGAGCGGGAGCCTCGTCTGTGAGTGAATTGTGAGGAAGTCTCAGGAGGAGCCCCCTCCCTATGGGGCCCGCACTTCATGTTTGAATCCGAGCGGGTCATCCGCAACGTGCAACTGTCGTCACTTTTGGGCTCTTGAGATTGAATATGGAGGAAGTCTCGAGCGGGAGCCTCGTCTGTGAGTGAATTGCGAGGAAGTCTCAGGCGGGAGCCCCCTTCCCTATGGGGCCCGCACTTCATGTTCGAATCCGAGCGGGTCATCCGCAACGTGCAACTGTCGTCACTTTTGGGCTCTTGAGACTTGAATATGGAGGAAGTCTCGAGCGGGAGCTTCGTCTGTGAGTGAATTGTGAGGAAGTCTCAGGCGGGAGCCCGCTCCCTATGGGGCCCGCACTTCATGTTTGAATCCGAGCGGGTCATCCGCAACGTGCAGCTGTCGTCACTTTTGGGCTCTTGAGATATGAATATGGAGGAAGTATCAGGCGGGAGCCTCGTCTGTGAGTGAATTGTGAGGAAGTCTCAGGCGGGAGCCCCTCCTTATGGGGCCCGCACTTCATGTTTGAATCCGAGCGGGTCATCCGCAACGTGCAACTGTCGTCGCTTTTGGGCTCTTGAGATTTGAATATGGAGGAAGTCTCGAGCGGGAGCCTCGTCTGTGAGTGAATTGCGAGGAAGTCTCAGGCGGGAGCCCCCTCCCTATGGGGCCCGCACTTCATGTTCGAATCCGAGCGGGTCATCCGCAACGTGTAACTGTCGTCACTTTTGGGCTCTTGAGGCCTGAACATGGAGGAAGTATCAGGCGGGAGCCTCGTCTGTGAGTGAATTGTGAGGAAGTCTCAGGCGGGAGCCCCCTCCCTATGGGGCCCGCACTTCATGTTTGAATCCGAGCGGGTCATCCGCAACGTGCAACTGTCGTCACTTTTGGGCTCTTGAGATTTGAATATGGAGGAAGTCTCGAGCGGGAGCCTCGTCTGTGAGTGAATTGTGAGGAAGTCTCAGGCGGGAGCCCCTCCTTATGGGGCCCGCGCTTCATGTTTGAATCCGAGCGGGTCATCCGCAACGTGCAACTGTCGTCGCTTTTGGGCTCTTGAGATATGAATATGGAGGAAGTCTCGAGCGGGAGCCTCGTCTGTGAGTGAATTGTTAGGAAGTCTCAGGCGGGAGCCCCAGGATGAAGAGGAAATGGCAAAGGGTAAGTTAAACAGATTCTCATGCGGGGTCCTACCGTCGGAGTAATTTTGTATTCTTTTTGAAAATTCCTCCCGTAGAGGAAAACGCGCGACTTAACCCCAATCGAAGAAGAAACAACATAATGAACATAAGCTGTCGACGCTCCGCGCGGATTTCTTGGATCTGCGCAGGGGCCCCTTGGCGGCGCCTCCGGCGCCGCCCCTGGCGCGCTCCGCGCGCCAGGGAGGGGGGGTCCCGCGCAGATCCAAGAAATCCGCGCGGACCGTCGACAGTTTATGCTCATGCCGTTTTTCTCTTCCTCTGCATGAGGCGCCATCGGGAGCGACGGAGGCGGCGACGCAGCGACGACGGGCGGCGGCCAGGCGAAAACTCGGAAGCGCCAGCGGGCGCGCGGTGCGGCGACGATGGGCGGCGGCTCTACCCCGGGG